TGCTTCCATCTTCCTGTGAGTAACCGTGCATACAGCCTGTCTGAACAGCAGGGTGCAGTGAAGGAAAGGTGAGGCTGTGGCTCTCGTGTTGTGTAGCAGCTGCTGTCAGCTCAGATTAAAGCACCGCCGACCTCCCTGCTGCTGACTGGCTGCAGTCAGAGTGCTGTCGCATGTCGCTGAACCACCAGGGAGAAGTGTTTTTAACCTGACAACCAAACTACTCGGTGCAGCAGCTGTTCAGTTTATTTGGATACGTCTGGAATATGTTATCACTTCCTGCTGCAGCAGTAAAAACACTCATATGCAAGTATGTTTATTTTAATGACGTGTACAAACCGCACGTGAGTTTTTCTAACCATGGAGGGATTCACATTTCCTGCTGAGAGAGCTGAGAGTTTCTACACCTCTTGTCATGCTCTGTGTGTGTGTGTCTATTTAGACAGCTTTATGTCCTCACTATGATATCAAACTAGAATGTGCGTGCGTGGGGTTGGGTCCCTCCTCACGTTGGAGCTGTTGAGGAAGTTTCCGATGGCGAGCAGCGTCGCCAGGATTCTTCTGAAGGTCTGATTGGAGGCGAGCTGCTCCATGCCGAGCTTCAGGTCAAACAGCGGTTCGGCTATCTCCTGCAGGGGGCGACACAGTCACAGTCTCAGCATTTCAGTATAACAGCCTAACTATAATCAGATCCAGTTTTTCTGTAATCTTGCTGAGCTGAACTCAGGTGACTTTCAGGTGTAAATCTAATGATCTGCAATCAGCTCGTTTACCTTCTCCAGAGCCTCGTAGTTCAGTTTGAAGGCCCAGAGCTGAAGGCGGGGGGTCAGGCCGTTGATGGAGGCCAGGGTGAGCAGGAACTGCTCTGCTGTGCCCAGAGGGAGGTCGGGATTGGCGAGCTGAGCCTCCTGGATCTTCTGCTTCTCCTCCTCTGTGGGGGTCATGGTCAGGATCTTCTGCTCAGGACAGAGAGAGAGCCCATAGCGTTAAAGTTGAAGATGAACCAGCAGACTGTGATCCGTCCACACACAGGAAGTCACCCCTACCTCGATGCCCTCTTTGCTAATGGCGAACTCGTCGAAGCTGAGGATGGCCGACTTGATGACGTGGATCGCTGGCAGGACGGTCATGCCGATGTTGATGGCGTTACTCCTCTTTGAGTCCAGAACCAGAATCTCAGTCTTCTTGGTCTCCGGTCCTTTCTGCACACAAGCGACATGTTAGAAATGTGACGAGCGCGACAGTTTTCCTGCTCAATAATTCCTCCTCCAGCTTTGGAAGAGAGCCGCTCGCGCATGACTAGCAGTGTCAGCGCTTCCTGTGATGTCATAAAGTTACACAGTAACACTTCAATCATCACTTTTAATGGTAAACTGATAGTTGGTTAAACTAAATACACTGATCA